TATGGGGAGACAGGGCAAGGGGAAACGGATACAAGCTGCAGCATAGGAAGTTCCGCACGACTGTGAGCAAGAACTTCTTTATGGTGAGGGTGACGGAGCACTGGAACAGGCTGCCCAGGGTGGTTGTGGAATCTCCTTCTCTGGAGATATTCTAGTCTCGCCTGGATGTGCAATCTGGTTTAGGGAACCTGCTTTGGCAGGGGGGTTGGTCATGACAATCTCTAGAGGTCCCTTCCAACCCCTACAATTCTGTGATTCTGTCTATATACCTTTGTTGATGAACTAGAAGTGGTGATAAAATATATGCTTATCGCATTTGCAGATGGCACAAAACTGGGTAGAACATTCAATACATCGTGGGGAAGTGCTTCCATGCAGTGTGGTACCTAGACAGACTGGAGAAAAGGGCTGACAGGAACCATAAAAAATTCAACAGGAAATGCAAATTCTTGGAAAGAGATATGCCCTTGAAATGTTACTGGCTGGGCAGAAAATTCTGTGGAAAAAAACTTGGGAGTCTTGGTGCACATTCAGCAAGCTAAACAAGCCAGGAGTGTGCCTTGGCAACAAACAAGGTCAACAGTATCTTTGGCTGCATCTACAGTAGCGTAGCCAGTAGTCTAAGGAATGTGATTATCCTTCTCTAATCAGCACTTATTGGACTGAACTTAGAATGCTGCATCCAGTTTTTGGCCCCCCAGTCCAGAATGGATACTGATAAACTGAAGCAAGTTTAGTAAAAGAATGCCAAGATGGTCAGGGAAACACGTCATCTGAGAAGTTAAAGGAACAGATTGTTCAAACTGGAGAAGAGAAGGCTTCTGGGAGATCCACTAGCAGCCTTCTGATACCCACAAGGAAGTGATCAAGAAGAGGAAGACAGGCAGTTGGCAGATAGTGGACAGAAGAGAGACAATAGGCATAAACTGAAATAAGATAGGTCCTAACTGGACATACAAAAAAAGCTTATTGTCTTGAGGACACTCAAGCAGAGGAACAAGTTGCCAAGAAGGATGCTGCAGTCTCCATCCTTGAAGGTTTTCAAAACTTAACTGGACAAAGTCCTAACAAACCTAGGCTGATCTCATAATTGACCTGTTTTGAGTAGGATGTTGAATCAAAAGCTTCCTGAAGCTACTTTCACAAGAATTATTTCATGATCTTGAGTTCAATGTGCCCAAAAACAAGCAACAAAGCTGATAAAGGGTCTGGAGAACAAGCCTCATGAGAAGTGACTGAGGGAACTGATTCTTCAGTCTGGAGAAGAGGCCCAGGAGAGACCTTATCCCCTTTACAATGGCCTGGAAGGAGACTGTAGCAAGGGTGGGGTCAGCCTTTTCTCTCAGATAACTAGTAGGAGGGCAAGAGGTAATGGCCTTAAGCTGCATCAGAGAATTGTTCAGGTTAGATATTAGGAAAAAATTCTTAAGAGTGGTACTGCACTGGCACAGGCTGTCCAAGAAGGTGTTTGAATCACTGTCTCCAGAGGTGTTCGAGAAATGTGTGGATGCGGCACTGAAGGACATGGTTAGTAGAGACAGGTTGACATTGGTCTAGATGACCTTAGAGGTCTTTACCAACCATAATGATTCTAAAATTCCAAAGACAGTGCTTTGCACATACTTGCACAACTTTCCCACAAGTTTAGAACACAAAACTCCAGAGCTGTGTGAAAGCTATCCAAATATTCAGGACAATCAAATAAAGCCTCATATGCATTCCCTCCTAAGTACTACTGTGTTTTAAGATGCAATCACAACTTTCCAAAGGCAACACCAGAAGCAGTATTTTCCCTACCCTCTGAAAGCTTAATGCACTAATACACGTGACCAAGTCAAACTGTAAATCAAATGTAGAAGACTGTTCATGGACTTGATATGAAGATCCCACCCAAAGCATCACACTCACTCAAAGGTGATAAACAGAACACCTACTACAGCCGCTCAGTTTAAACTGCTACTACTGTGAGCTGTGCAATAGTGCCACCTAGTGGACAGTACTTACAACAAAGTGAGGGCCAATTCGAGAAGAAAAATCTGCCATCTACCAACTTTGTTACTCTATGAAACCAGTTGGGACTTATAACTTTTGTATACACATATTCATATGCACATGAAGCAAAAATTGCAGCAACGAATAATACAAATACTTTTCCATCGCTCAGTTTTGAGTGACACAAAGCTTTCATAAAGTTGAAAAATGTCATTCGAGAAATAGAAGAAATGTTCTACCTGGATGTAAGCAGCATTTTACCATTTGGTCTAAATGAGGAGGATTTCAAAAATAGATGGGTACTGCAGGCTTTAATTTATATCATAAAAGAGCCTCCAGTTCAGCAGGTGGATAATAATCATCCACTCCACTGGCAAATGCAACACTTACATTTTTCTGTCTCTTGGCAGGAAACAAGTAGATCATGCAAGTTCTCTATTTACTTCATAAACATTGTCCAAGATGTACAGAATCTGTAAATAGTTTGAGGGGTTGTAAGCTTTACAGCATCCCCAAACTTCAAGGAATGTTCATGCTTCTACTGATTCCTGAAAGTTCAGCAATGTCTTCTAATGTTGCACAGCTAGAGAATGAGAAGAAAATTTCAGAGATTTGTAAGAATGTTTATTCTGCTCAGCAAATTCTCCTTGAAAATACTGTTTTGGTGGGGTTTTGTTTTTTTTTTGTTTGTTGTTTGATTGTTTTTGTTTTTTTTAAATACTATCTCCTGCTACCAGATGTCCTTAAAGTTTGTGTCTCACCTGAATCAGAACATCAGTTTCATTAAGATTTTGCTGTTCTACTCATCTATTGTTCAGTTTCTTTCTTAATGGAATGACTTGAGGATGAGAAAAACATTTTGTGTACTTTGTAGCACAGAAAATAGTAAGACCTTTACAGCAGAGAAAGAGCAACGCCACATATAGATTGCTCGTGATCCTCCCAGATTTCTGAGAAAGTTCCTAAGGAGTAAGCAACTAAAAAGTTCTGCTGCATTGTTGCTCAGTTCTTCGGGTTTTTTTGTTTGTTTGTCTTGTTTCTCTCCTGTTCTTCATTCTGCAGTAGTAATAGAACTAGAGAAATTTCTTTTGTTAAACTGCTTCTTTTGGAATTTATAATAAATGTAAAATCACAGGCAGGTCATGCAGACTGTCCCCACTCACATGGCTTACTAAACACTTGCAAAAGGAAAATGGAATAGTTTTCTTTCTGTTCACAAATCTTGCAATCCTTAAGTTCAAGAACTTCAGCATTCTAATGAATAATCCTTTGAAGACAGTCAACAAATTGGTATATAATTGTATAAATTGTCCTACAAATATTTAGCTACTAGGTATAGAAACATATAAACCTGATAGCAGTATTTTTTTTTAATATATCTTGCAGATAAAAAAAAAACATTCAAAGTGCAAGAAGAGATAACAACAACAACAAAAAAAAATACAGCACAGATAGCTTTTGTTCTTGACAAGTGATACAAACAATGACAACTACATACATACATGTAATCTACTGAACGTGCCAGAGTCTGATATTAATGAGATATGTCATAAAATAGTATAGATTCTCGTATCATCTATACAGAATTATAAAAGGAACTAGAATGCTGAAAAGGGCAGCAGCTACAGCAACAGGAAAAAAAGAGAAAGCAATAGAATAAACAGATGAATGTTGAAAATGATTTCCAGGCTCAAGATAATTCTCCCAATTAGAAATTCCAGTTTTCCAAAGCAACTACTGATTTTTCTCACATTTTAAACAGAAGAGTGCGATTAACAAGAGACGGCATTTTATGTTACAATTTGCCGAATCACACATAATCAGAAAGTAGTCTTTCCATCTTAAAAGATAAGTTGGTACACAAGTGTTACTTTCTTTCCTCATTTTTATGAATGTATAATGCCAGACATAACTTAAATAAATATATTTTAATAAATGCTAGAATAAATAAATAAATAAATGCTTTAATAAATGCTAGAAGTGGAGTCAGAAGTTTTCTTTAATGATTACAGACATAGATGGATTGTCTCCAGTATCTAGAATGTTCAGATGAAAAAAACAAGAAGCAGCATTGAAAAGTAAAACAAAAACAGCATGGGGAAAAGAAAAAAAAAAACAACTTCAGAAATACTTCCAACTTCAATGGAATATGAATGGTAATTTAAATAAGGCTTTTTGTTGTCCTATAACATTTTCTTTTCACAACTACATAAATCAGATTATTTAAACTAAAACAGATCTTTGAGCATAGAACTATAATAGGTAATTGGCTAAAATTTTGTACAAAAAAAAAATTGCTGATTATAAATGAAAAATGTTACTAACCTCTATTATTTAAAAAGAATGCTCCACCCTAAAGCCAGTACTGTCCTACTGTCCTAGCACCTACTAATTTAAATAACTATTATACTGATGCTTGTCTGTCATTCATCCTACTCTTATAACCCTGCCCAAAAGATTCACTTCAAGTCTTCAGAAACATCCAAACCCAAAAGCTTCACAAGAGCCTTCCCAAGAAATAACTAATACAACTAGCTTCTGTTGTTAAAAATAAGGGAGCAGAAAGGCTAAATAACCTGCCATTATTCATCAGCTCTTAATATGAAAGAAATGATTGACAAGGGAGTCCTTTATAGAAAAGTAAATAAAGTGCTATAACATAAAGGAGTAATAAATGAGGAAGAAAAATTAAAAGATCTTTATGTCTTTATCAGACCCACGTGATTTAAACCTTTTTGGAAATCCACTTACAATTAAGGAACTAACCAAATGTACATACATGCACTAATCAAGTAAAAATTTAATACAAATATTAGCCTCAAAACCTAAAAGCTTATCCAAGCTGTTTTCCAAACATTTGTATTTTTCTAGCTAAAAATTAAAGATTTAAACATTTACTATGAAATAAGTGATTAGATCTTCTTTTGTCCCCCCCTCCTCAAGCCAGACGAACAAGAAAAATAGGAAGTTGCTCAAAAGAGACAGAAATACAATAGAAATTCTATTACCTTGGATCTGGGATTTCACCAATAATTTCTCCCAGCTTGTCAATAAAATTAATGAAGTTAGAAAGCCCCTTTAGGTGGACTCTTAGTGGATCAAATAATGAAGCTGCACAGCCTTTTCCTCCATGTTCTACTGTTCGGATAAAAGATGTTGCCATCTATTAGGAGAAATATTTAGAAAATGAACATATTTTGAAGTGACTTCCTACAGATACGTAAACCACATAACAGCTGGATAATAATAGAAATCTAATGGAAACCAACAGAATACCTTTTAATTGCAAGCTGTTTACATTTCTCCGTAAACTTTTGCAAGCCCAATACTTAAAGTTGGGCTTTAAAGTACTTACAAGTTAAACGAAAATGATCCAACTGATTTGATATTTACACTGATAGCTTGGAAAAAAACGTCTACTTTATTAAAATTGCATAGTTTTGTTGTTGTTGCTGCTCTTTAAGTGTTCACGCTTACCTAACAAAGACAAATCTTACATTTAGAGGGTTGTTTACAACCTAGGAACATTTAATACAAGTACACAAAGATTGACTTGAGAATTATATTTATTTTTAGGGGTAGAAATAAATACTATGAATATTCAAATTTTCTAAAAAAAAAAAAAAAAAAAAAAAAAAAAAAAAAAAAAAGATAGCTAAAGGTTCTAGCATCACAGATACTCCATTCTGAAAGTTTCCCTATATTTTATATACAGTAAAGACACTGAAAATAAGAGATGTCCCATCAGCAGTCGTCCTGGTTTCAATTGGGATGGAGCTGATTTTCTTAACAGCATCTAGTTGATGCATGCAACATCCAACAAGTCTCTTGTCCTGAAGGACTGTTACAATAGATGGAGCCCAAAGTCACAGATTAAGTGAACTCCACAGACAACATTGTGAAATGGCCTAAAGACTATGGAAACAATGTCTGCGCATACATATATAGATATATACATATAGATAGATAGATAGATAGATAGATGACACAGATTTCTATATCTCTCTCTCTCTCTCTCTCTCAGAAGGCAGAAAAGGTGATGGTAATTAATTGGGGTGTATTGGAAAAAGTGTGGGACTTGAGTATTATGTAAACAATACAGAATAAGAAGCGGATATTGATCTGGTTTCAACTGAGACAGAACAGAGTTTCTTCATATTGTCTGCTATGATGCCATGTTTTAGCTTTAGCAGAAAAACAACACTGATAACACGCTGATGTTTAAGTTGCTGCTCAGCAGCGCTACACAGCATCAAGGATATTTCAGCTTCTCATGTCCTGTCAGTGACAGGGCGGGGGGTGCACAAGAAGCTGGGAAGGGACAGAACCACAACTGTTGACCTAAACTGGCCAAAGGGCTATTCCATACCATATGACATCATGCAAATATAAAACTGGGGGAATTTGGGGTGGGGGAGCTGCTGCTGCTCAGGGTCTGGCTGAGCATTAGTCAATGGGTGGTGAACAATTTCACTGTGCATCACATGCATACATAAATGTTCTTATCATTACTATTATTTCTCTCATCCTTTTCCATCTTAGTAAGATTTATAATCTCAATCTATGAGATCTATTTTTTTTTTTTCCTGATTCTCTCCTCCATCCTACTGGAATGCAAAGAGAGTGAGCAAACAGCTGTGTGGTGCTGAGCTGTCTGCCAGGTTGAACCACAACAGCAGCACACTTTAGAGTGTAACCCCTCACATTTTAAGCCAACAGTTAAATAAAATAAATCTCTCCATAAAAAGTTTAAGATAAGAACCTAAAACATTTGACAGATACAGCAATATTAATTCTACCTATACAATTTAATTTCATACTACACAGTTAAATCATAAAGCTCTTGGGACTGTAAAGAATACAACTGGAATTACTCTAGCAAAGAAAATAAACCTGCCAGTATCCCTGCTTTTGCACTGGATTAATATGGTTCATAGGACCTTGCCTTCCAATGGAAAGTATTCTGGCTTTGCAGGACTTTCTGCAAGACACAGATGCCAGAAAAGACAACTTCTTTACACAGTAGAGAAGTTTCCCTCTGGCAGCTGGGAGGAAGAAGCAATAAATCCAGTCCAAACACAACTTTTTTTTTTCACATACAATTTTAACAGAGCATTAGGAGCTCAAATAATTAATCCTGCAACTGAGATTTCACAAATTTTCCATATTTTTAAACCGTAAAATCTGAAGTAATAGTGCAGCTGCTTGAGAGACTTTTATATACCCATACTATTTTTCCTTGGTCTACTGTTGACTGTACAGATCCCACTGTGTATGCAAAATTTGATTATCTGAATATGCGGGACCACATTGATTCTCTGGAGAAAGAAATCTTACTCCTCTATTTTTGAGATGGCTGTGTGCTGGCTATAACTGCTCTAATTATAAATATAAATTCACCTCACATACAAAATTAGATTCCTTAGCTCCAAGCCTCTCTGAGGACTATATGCTGTAATTTTTTCTTGTTCCTGTATAAGGGAGAACACCATCCTTTGTTTTTTCTCTCTCCAGCCCTGTGCCTTTGAGAATAACATGAGCAAGAATATCCCATATCAATCACATCTTGAAGAATGTTTCAAGACTGATCAAGCTGTAAATGAATGGCAAGTATTACACTCCAAAAATTCTGAGTCAGAGCCGAAAAAACAGCAATACTGTTCCTCCAAATTTTGGTCTTTCATCTACACATCAAGCACTGAATTTTTTTCTTCAGATTGCTCTACAAAAGGAATTTTGTGCAAAGAAACATTAGGCTACAGTTTAACAAATACACAGAAAAATTGTGTTTTTTCCACTTAACCAAAGTATGTACTTGCAACACTCTGGGTATATTATTAATAGACTCTTTTTGTCAAGAGATTCCTGTTTTTACCAGATCATATTGTAGCGTTCTAGAGGTTCACAGGCAGAAATCATATTTTTGGGGTATCTTTAGATGTCATGATCAATCATCTACTTTACAAGATGAAATCTGTTGTGCTGGTTTTCTTTGTTTTTAAGCCTTGAAACTCTCCTTATGATAGTGTTTGAGTTGGCTTGCAAATGGTAGTCTTGCAGATGAGACTAAAGTAACATTTCATGTTTTTATAAATCTATTTCATTATCTCTGATCTGATCTACAGCAAGTTTCATTGGATTCACATACCAGGAAAATTGACATGTTTCTCTCCTGTGAGGCATGTTTTAGTTTAGTGAAGGCTTCTCTACCAAGTCCTCTGTCAGGAATGTTTAGAATACGAGCCAGTGCCAGATCATCCTTAGAATTCACCAGCAGGCTTAAATATGAATAAAAACACTTCTTGGCAAAGAGCATCACCTGTATAAAAAAGCATCAATATTGATTAGTCACCCTGCCGCTAAATTACATGTGTGCTAGTAATAAGACTTTTACAGAAGTGTCTCACTTTGCATAATTTCAAATTATTACTTAATGTATGGGAATTCTGGAAGTTTTGACAAAAGCAAGCATGATTAATATGCATTAAAATTATGTGTATTATGCTTGAATAATCACACTGACACAGGATGCCCAGAAAAGCTGTGGATGCTCCATCACTGAAGGCATTCAAGGTCAGGTTGGATGGGGCCCTGGGCAGTCTGATCTGGTGGGTGGCAGCCCTGCCCATGGAAGGGGTTGGAACGAGATGATCTCTAGTTTTCTTTCCAAATTTAGATGTTCTATGATTCTATGACATTTAGCTATTACAATTGGGTATCTATTTCTGCTTAGAGATCTCCTAACAGATGTTCCTTTTACATCCCAAAGTAAAATTCTAATACCGTGAAACCACATAAAGGATTTACATTAATTTCAAGTAGGCTAAAATTTTCATCACCTCACCAGCTCCAGCTCAGATTCACTAATTTTCCCCTTGACTCCCAGGGATATCAATCATAGAAGTCTCACTGATTGAAGAATTAGAATTTTATATCCAACTCCACTCACGTAATCAAATTATATCAATATAATTACTTATATTGCAGCACTGATCAGGATCCTGTAAAAATAACAGTCCCAGAACTGAAAAATTTACATTTAAAAAATTTTAAAAAAAAGAGAAAAAAAGACCAAAAAACGACTATTGATGAAAAGAAAACTAATGAGAAAAGCTTTATTTGCTACATATTTTTTTCTTATTCAACAGGAATTCAAAAATATATAAATGTAGCAGCTTTAGAGGATAGATTTGAGAGAAAGAAAAAAAGGGCAAGGAATATTTTTTTCTACACATGCCAATGTCAAGCAAGCCATTAGCTTAGTGGTAGAAGTGCTATCTAGGGAAGAACTGTAGTGAAAAAACAGAAAAGCCCTAAACTGCATTTCACTGAAGCATTTTTCAGCCTGATATATTGCTGGGACAATGTTTGCTCACATGTTGAGAATTATTTTTTAAGTTGTATCTACACACTGCATTTAAATTGCTACTTCTGGTGAGTAAAGTAAGCCAGGAAATGGCAAAAGCACTAGCATTTCAAGTGCTGCAATACAGTATTCTCTGATTCTTATCTGGGGGGTTGAATCAAGTGTTTCCCAAAAGTCTCCAGTCATCCACTGGGATAAACAAGACTGGCTTGCTTTGCTACAGCTACCATTACAGTTGCTATCCAGATTTCTTCCATAAGGAAGTAAATACGAGCTAATGAAAACAAGGTGATGAAACCTAATAAGTCTACATCACTTAGCACTTCATTTGGCAACATCAGGCAAATCATTTAACTCTCAGTTAATAAGGCTATGATAGTATATTTGAAGAAAAATGTTTAAAGGCACTTAAAGACAGATTACATCTACATACCAAGTGCCTGCCATAAGAGGACTGTCTTTCAGAGTATAAGTTCATGTACTTACCCCATAGACACACTGATGAGTTACGCTTTGAAAACACTTGTCTATTATTTTTAAAATAGCAATATTTTAATAACAATAATTGCAAAAAGAAAACAACGTAACATATCACATTGTGTTGTGTAGACATGGAAAACTTAACATTACAAAAAAAAAGAAAAAAAAAAAAGATAGAAATAATTTTTACCTTCACATTGTTCTGATCCTGTCTGTAGACCGGTGTAGAAGGAAGAACAGAATCATTACTTCTTGATACATTCATTCCACCAGAAATAAATTCTAGCAGTTGAACCTTCAATAAAACGAGTGGAATCAGTTAAAATATGAAGGTGACTAAAAAGCAGAAATACTATTAAAACCAAGTGAAACCATGATTTCTTACAGTTTGCTAGTTTTCTGAGACCCAAAACTTACTTTTTCTTTAGTCTTCGTAAGTACAAATGTTTAGAGAGAAATCAGGTGTAAAGACTCAATTTAACTTACAGATCTTGTACATTTCTGTAAGACACTCGCACTAAAAGCATCTTTTTTTTTTTCCCTGAAAGACAAGAAGCTAACATTGCACCACAGATATGAAAAGCCCATTAATCTTCTCAAGTTTTTTACATTATAAAAAGAAATTAGAAAATGAGAGCTTCCTGAACTTCAATCCTCCTTGTAACTTCTTTTGTATCCAGTAATTGGAATGTTTAAGTAGAGGTTCTCTCAGTTTAAGGAAGCAGGCAAACTTGTTACAAGCATACCTCTCACTGAATCTTATAACAGTATTTCTATGTTTCAATATTTCTGATGATGAGATTTCACATATTCTCTCAGGAGTCTGTTCCAGTATTTGACTACTTTTTCCACGGACACAGCTTTATTCCTGACTCAATAGGAAGAGTTCCTCAAAGCAACTGAAATATTTTATTTTTTATTTCCTAGTTTTTATCTAATAATTCAGTTTACCTTCCTGCAAGAGGACAGTTAACTCTTTCTGTAATTTTTCTTACAAGCCAGAAATAGTTGAATCTAAATCCACAATTTATTTTATTTTTACTATTTTTTTTTAAATCAAAATCCTTTGTCTTTGACCTTTCCATGTTCTGGAGAGCACAAAAATCAAACTCATATGGCATGCTTACATTTCAAAGTTTTTTAGTTGCTACTAACACAACCCAATCATCAGCCCACAAGGGCTCAGGATAAGGAAGATTATTATCTCACTAATTTAATATCCTTCTATGATAAGATCTCCCTGTGAACAAAAGGAAGGCAGTAGAAGTAGTTTTTCTGTATTTTAGCAATGCTTTTGATACGGTCCCTCAGTCTTTCTGGATAAACTGTCCAGGTTTGAGACAAACAGGCACATTGTATGCTGGGTGAAAAACTGGCTGAACAGTAAGTAAGGCTTGAAGTGCTGTAGTAAAGAAAGACTACATCTGGTTGGTGACAAGTCACTAGCAACATTCTCCAAGGCTCAATCTTGGCACCAGTTCTATTCAACATTTTCATCAATGATTTCTATGGAGTTAAATGCATCTTTCCAAAATTTACTGATGATACTAAACTGGTAGGTATTGCTGACTCTCTGAAGATACAAAAGGCTTCTAGAAAAGGGACCTACATTGATCAGAACCATTGGGCTATTTGCAACAGTATGAAATTTATCAAATGTTGGATTCTGCTTTTGGAATTGAGTAATATCAGACATATGTACAGCCTGGGACACAAGTGGCTGGAGAGGAGTCCTGCAGAAAGGGACCTGGGGACTCTGGTTGACAGCTGGCTCAACATGAGTCAGCAACATACCCTGGCAGCCAAGAAGGAAAGCAGCAATGTGGAGTACATTAAACTCAGCATAGCCAAACAATCAAAGGGGTCATTCTCCAACTATATTTAGCATTAGTGCTGTCTCATTTCAAATATTCTGTTCTGGACTCCGTGTTCTAAAAAGCACATTAAGATACTTGACTGTGCGTGGAGAAGGCAACAAAACTGGTTAAAAGAGCTGGAAGGCATATCCTATGAGGAACAACTGTGAACACTGTGTTCGTTAAACTTGGTGAAAAGGAGGTTGAGGAATGATCTGATTGCTCCTTTCTGAGGAGGGGAAGTGGAGAGGGGGTTGCTCCCTGGTATCTAGTGACAGGACACACAAGAGCAGTTCAAAGCTGCATCAGTCAGAAACTGATTAGACGTTATAAAAAATTTATGAATTACAAAAAACTTCTAGACATTGGAGCAGGAATCCTAAAGAGGTGGCTGACATTCCATGCCTGTTTGTGTTTAAGAGGCATTTATATAATGTTCTTAATGACATGTTTTAAACTTTGGATCAGTCCTGAAATAGTCTAACAGTTGGACTCAATTTTTTTTTTCCTTCCAGCAGCTAATATATTATTCAGTATATTTTGATCTGGTAAAAATTAATCAAATTTGTGCTATTTTCATTGTCAGACTGGACTACATACTACAACTTCTCTAGCCTACAGCATGGCCTTATGTGCAGAGTTACAATAACTGAATTGCAATACACTGCAATAGATGCTTGACTGAGCAGCTGAAGATGAATCTCTTCCGGTTTCCCAAAAAACATCAAATGAAGCTACGTGTAGAATATGGAGGAATTTTTGTGTTTAAAAGTATGTTATTTTTATAACAACAAAAAAAATATATTTGGACTGCATAGCAAGATATATCCAAAATTCTGGAGCATGTTAATCATTAAGATTTGATCCAGTCATATCAAATCTCTACAGTTTGCCTTTTTCTGGCAGAAAAACTTCTGGAGAAGAGATCTACACATCCAGCAGGATGACAGAAAGAAGTAATTTTTGGAATGGTCTTATGAGTCTTTAAAGGATTTAATAATTTAAACATATCTGTTTTCCACACAGAAAAAGCAAGTAACTTGTGAATAATTCAGGATTTCTGCACATACTTTAGAAGCACTGTAAATCCATAATCATTATCAGAAGTATCAAAATAATATCAGAGATTAATCAAAAAAATACTTACGGGGGCAATACTTTCATCTTCAGAGACAAGTGCAAGAGCACAGCACTTTTGATATATGTCTATTACATCTAACATATTGCTGCTTGCTAAGAAAGTATGATAGGCCCTTTTAAAGTCAGCATAATTTTCAGGTTCTTCCATGTTCTCATACAATAATCCTAGTTTGTCATGTAACAAATATTTCCAAGTTTCCATCACATCACTGAGTGATGCTGTGAAATCTCCATGGTGCTAATAAAACAACAATAATAATAAAAAAAAAATTAATGTTATATATTTAGTAGTTTTAAAAATTACTTTAAAACAAGTTGCATATATGTCTACAAAGAAAAACTAATGCAATCTAAATATTTGCATTTGTAATGAATGGAGTGTTACTTATAACTGCAATTCTTTTAATGCCTTTGCCTTACAGTTGACTTTTTGGAATTTGCAGTCCTTGTTCCTGATCCCTTGTTTCTAAAATACCAGGCATATATTTTGAACTTTGCTGACAGAAACAGACATTGATTTTCACAGGAGTATTACACACCAAAATCTTTTTTTTTTTCTCCAATGCTAATACACTTCTACTCTTACATAATATTGATATTATTGCCACAGACCTAATGAATGCATTAAATCAAGACACACCTAAGCACAGGCAGGTCCAAAAGTAATGCCTTCTATTTTATTTTGTTGGCCCACAACATCATAGGCAGATGTCGGTGGTATGGCAGTAGAGGCTGAATCTTCCTGCCAGTATTCCATTACATTTTGTTGCTGTGTGACATGGCAGTAGAGGGGCAGTCTGACAAATTTGCATCTGACACAGTAGTGCAGATGAAGCAGAGGTCTTGAATAATTCCATGTGGAGAAAATTGCACTCTTTGACTTTCAATGGATGTGAGCACAGTGAGGCAGTAGGAGATGTATTTCAGTAGTGGCAACCGTGGGTCACCTGGGCTCGTGAAGATTTTAACCAGGGCAGCATGCAGGCTCTTGTATTTACTGCATGTAAGTGAAATTACAAAGTAGCAGAGATTTGCTACTAGTTAGACTCAGCTATGGTAATGGAAACAAAAGATAAGGCTTGGGATGCAGGTATACGTACACATTTCTAACCTCCCCAATTCAGAAATCAGCCCTATAGCCATCTTTAAATTTGCATGTGGTTTCTAGCATAATTCAGTGCTATGAACATGCCTGCTACTCCAGAGATTGCAAGAAAATTAATGTCATACGTTTTCTATAGAGCATGTTTTCCACTCCAACTTCCCCAAAAACTAAATTTGTAACCATATTGTAATCACCTTTAAGAAAATCAAAACAATAGTACATTGAAAATTGCTATTTTCTTACTTCTGAAAGAATTTTTCAAACAAAATTACAGTACAGTTTAAATATGGTACCTAGTAAATCAAAACTTTTCCTTGCAAGAACAAGGACCGGCAGAGATTAGCAAAGTTTATATTAGCACTGGAAGAATACTTGAAATTCAAGTTGAATTTCACTCCAGGTGCTAACTTATACCATCAGGCACTCACTGTGACAGTGCACTCCATTACTTACACAGTCAACTGTCAAGAGTATCTAGTTTTAAAGGGAACATTAATAAAATATGATGTTTTGCAATAAGCATATGCCAGCTGACTAATACCCAAAGGAAGTCCAAAAAGTTCTGGACTTTTGTTGCATGATAGACATTGCAGTGTTATGTTTCACAGTGTCTTAGTTTCAGCTGGGACATAGTTGTTTTCTTCAGAGCGTCTGGTATGAGACTAGTTTTTGGTTCTCAGAGAAAAAAAAAATGTTGATAACACAACAATGTTGCTGCTCCATAATTACAGTGTCTATGGCTTTTCTGCTCAGGGAGATGGTGGAGTCATCGACCCCAGAGGCATTCAAGAAATGCTTCTATGCTGTACTGAGTGACATGGTTTAGTGGGAAATATAGGTGATAGGTGGATGGTTGCACTGGATGATCTTAGATGTCTTTTCCAATCTTGGTAATTCTATGATTCTCTGTCATTCAAAACAACCCCCCTTCCTCCATCAAATCTAGCTTTGATGGCACTGGTTCTAATACAGGTGGTTGGTTTGACCAACTTTATGGGGTAGTCCCTTCCTGAGTCTGAATCATTACCCACACCCTCTCCTTTTTCCAGACCAGAAAGCTATCTAAGCTTCCTCCCCTTGCAGGGATTTAAGTCAGGGCAGTCTTTCAGCCTATGTCAGAACAAAACACCATACATAACTCTCCAATTCCAGGATTCAGTGCTGCCTGGCAATTTCCTTTTTTAACCTGTCCTTTCACTGGAAAAGTTCATTGAGATGGGCACACTTGTATTAAATGACATCCACTTCTGCCCGCAGTCCCTATGCAGACTTGCAGATTCTGGAGATCCCCGCAACAAAAGACGAGGGTAGCAATTTAACTCCTCAGGAAGCCTATTTAGGTGCATGCATCTGCACGTGAAGGTTGTGGCCACCCTGCCTAGGTTACAACCTCAGCTCAGCCATTGCAGCACACTGTCACCAAGTTTCCTTTAATAGAGGACTATTCCAGAAGAGAGAGAGCAGGCACCCTCCAGCCTTAAACCAGCTTTCCTGTTTGCTCACACTCCATGTGGTTACCTTTGTGCATAAATGGGTGGCTGCTGCTGCTTCTGGACCACCCATGTCTTTTCAGCCACTCTCACAAGGGCTGAGGACCCCTAGCAGCTTCCTCCTCACCCAGAGGACTCCCTGATTGCAGGACAACCCCTTACCCCACACATATCAACTCCCAACTCTGCTGCAGAATTGAAGTTATGCAATCAGACAAAATACACTATTGTTTACTATTACAGTTGAGGATTTACATTAAAAAAAAAAGCTTAAAACACTTCTCCCATCTTCCTGTAAGCTCTGATTTGTACTTAATCATTATTTTACAACATCTTGCTGTATCTAACCCTCAGATGAAAAACAACACTGAAATGACCAAAACAACTGTTTTAAATAGATAAACTGAAAGTTTAGTAAGCAAACCAAGTTTAAGTACACTAAGCCCCAAGAGCACACAGAAAGAATGCTAACCTGTTTATTTACTTCAGCCATGGACAGTTGTAATGCTGTCAGCATGCAATCGGCTCCACATACAGTAGTCCTTTCAGAGTTTGAAAATAAGGGCCATTGTCTTCTGAAATGTTTGATTAAGTTTAAAATCTTTTGCTGTAAAGAAATCATTGCCTAGAGTAGAACACAGAATTAAGAAAAATAATTGTGAATATAAATATATGAGAGGCATATCACGAGATATGTTTTTCACACAGAGGGTGGTGATGCACTGGAACAGGTTGCCCAAGGAGGTTGTAGATGCCCATCCCTGGAGACATTCAAGGCCAGGCTGGACGTGGCTCTGGGCAGCCTGATCTGGTGGTTGGCGACCCTGCACATAGCAGGGTTGTTGAAACTAGATGATCATTGTGGTCCTTTTCAACCCAGGCCATTCTATGATAATATCAGTAATTTGACAGGACAGTTTTTTTGCCTCTACAGAGACAGCCTGAATGCCTCTAGAGAGCACCTTTCATATTCACCACATCATATTCAGACCAGCATCTATTAGTATGGAATCTCTTAAGCAAGAGATTCAGTATTGTTTTTACAACTTATTATCGAAGACACCTCTGAAAATTTTTGTTGCCTCCATACAAAGCCTTTTCAATGCCTCTTTCCTTAAGTCATCATATTTGCTATTCCCTTTGACAGTGAGTTTCTGTACCAGTTTCAGTTGCCACCCAGCGGCTCAGGCTGCCCAGAGCCCCATCCAAACCAGCTTTAAGCACCTGAAGGGCCAGGGCACCCATAGCTTCTCCGGGCTGTGTCTCACCACCCTCTGAGTGAAAAATTTCCCTCTCCCATCTAATCCAAACCTCCCCTCTCTCGATTTAAAATCACTCTATTGCTACGCTTCGCTAGAGTCCCTCCCCTTTTAAGTAAGTTAAGCTATTTACTCCACACCCAAGCCCCTCTCAGCCGGCTGAAGCGCTCCCGCTCGCCTATAGCCATTACCTGCACAACCAGGAGGATGAGACCAAGCACTCCACCAGCCGCTCGGAAGGCCTATCAGCCTCTATCGGCGGTTTTCATTCAAACCCTCGGCAGATGCCCAATAGAAAGCGCGAGCCCTGACCCGGAAGCACACGGTAGCCTGTGGGCGGGAGGTGCTGGCTGGCGGGAGTAGCGTGTGTATGGCCGGCTGGGGCTGCGGAGGTGTGTGTGAGGCCGCGCGGGAAGATGGGGGCTTGCTGTGGGAGGGGGAGGGAAAAGCGATGCTCGGACCTGCCTTGGGGGTGAGCGGGTCGTGGAGAGGAGATTGGGCCGTCTCCTGAGCACCTGTAGAATTGTGGGGCCACATGTTGTCAGCGAGCCATCCTGAGCCCTGAAGGGAAAAGCAGGTGTGTGTGTGTGTGTGTGTGTGCGCGTGTGCGGTGATTCCGTAAAGAATGCAGCTAGCAGCATATTTTAGCAGGCTTTTGTTGTTGTTGTTCTTTGTTTTGTTGTTTTTTGGTTTTTTTTTTAGTTAAAGTTAGCCTAAAGTTGGTTTTCACTGAGGCTGAGGGAGCTGGAGCTGTGCAGTCTGGAGAATACGAGGCTCTGAGGGAGACCTGACAGTGGTCTCTCTCTATCTAGAGGGGGCTGTAGGAAAAGGGGATGGACTCGTTAGCAGGGTCTGTTGTGATAGGGCAAGGGGAAATGGTTTCAGGCTAAAAGAGAGGAGACCTAGGTTGGATGAAGTTTTTTACAGCACGAGTGGTGAGGCACTGGTGTAGATCCCCCATCCTTGAAGATGCTCCAGGTCAGGCTGGAAGGGCTCTGAGCACCCTGGTGTAGCTGTGGGTGTCCCTGTTCATTGCAGGAGTTCAACTAGATGGCTCTTAAATGCCCCTTCCAACTCACGCCATTCTATTATTTTATGTTGTTGGGAAGGCTTTAAGGAAGACTATTATAGGTTGGGTTAAAAGTTGTGTTTGGTCTTGGGAGCATCTCTCTGCAAATTGTGACCTAATCTAGGTGTTCCTGCTCAGGCAGGGGGATTAGACTAGATTATCTTTTGAGATCCTTTCCAATCCCTGATATTCTGTGATTCTGTGGCTGAAGTATATAAATTAATGGGGTAGCATATCATGCTAATTAATAAACAAACATTGCAGCTATAGGGAGCCACTTTGTCTCTGTGGTGTCCACAAACCGTGGTAGCACTCAAGCAAAATGTTCTGACTTGGATTCTGACACCATCAGGTCATTAACATAGCAAAATACATCAAGAAATTTAAAGCTATTTTTCCATATTGCATGCAGAAAAAAAAATATGTGTTTTTCCAAAAGATATAAGTTAATATAAAAATCTCTACTAGGATTAAGGGGGATGGTTCCAGAATCAGTTGTGTCTCTAAGCTGTTTTGGTGCCAGCACAGAAGCCTGATTGTCTTGAAAAGCACTTGAATGGAGTAAAGCACTAATTCTGAGATATACTTTAGCTCCAGATGAAAGCTAACTACTTTTGTTCAAATACAGAGGCATAGGGGCTCTGTAGATAGGTTGCAGATGAGTTGACTTCAGTCATGAAACCACGCTTAAGTATTCTACAGGATAGTGTTCTCATTTGCAGTTTTTCAGCCTTAATTCTGCTTTTAATTAGATACCCACTGTCCTTTAAAAGTGGTACAACAGAGTAGAGAATATGAAGGTAACAATACATAATTTTTTTGTTGATACATAATTGTATCAACATGATACAATGTTGATACATAATGATACATAATTTGGTTGAAAACTTAAGCATTCTGAATGGGACTTTTCTAGTGTGTATAGTTAATCTTGGTTTTAGGTTGCCCCCAATAGCACAAAATCTAGTTATTGATTAAGTCTCTAGGAGTGCTTTTAAATGTATGCTAGTCATTTAGGTTAATTGGTTTAATTAATTCCTTGATAGTTGTAATTATGTGCTAAATTTATAAGTAGTGAGCTTAATTTGACCTTTTGTGTCCATTAATGCAGCATTATAGGAAATTTTGATTTGCTGTGCCACAAATGCCTTTTTTCTTATGTGAATGTATAATACATGTTCTTTAATACTTTCTATATAGGAATGTAGACTTCATCCTGGAAAAGACATCACTTCTGTGATAGCTTGATACAGTTCCCTGAAAATGAAGCAAGATTCTCTTAGAAATGCTGCTTATACTGTGGACTGTGAAGATTATGTGCATGTGATAAAATTCAATCCATTTGATAGTGGAGATGCGTGCTCTCTCATTGCATATGGTGGCAACAATTATGTGGTTGTTGGAACATGCAGATTTCAGGTTGGCTTGTGTTTGTTGGTTTTATTAATTTCTTTCTGAAACTCTGCCAGCATTTCTGCTGGTAAAGTCCAGAGCTGACTAAAATTGCTTTTTTTATTATTTTTTATTTTTTTACCAGGAAGCACTGCACTTGTTTACTAGATTAATTAATTACTATATTAATGAATCTAGGATATTTCCCAAGGCATACAAATTAGTATAAAATACTGTCCTGATGGTATGCTTTCTAAATTGACTGCAATTAAAGCAGGAGTGCTCTTCTGAAAGACATCCTAGTTTTAGCAGTTGCCAACATTTGCAAGTGATACTATCTGGGATCTTAAGCAGTAACTTCATATTTGTAGCACAAATCTCTGATTTTTGTGCTCAGTATTGGACTCTGACTTGAGACTGCCATCACTATATGGATTTTTCATGTATTTCTAGTAAAATTCCTTATTGCAGCAGGTACATCAAACTTTGAAAGCCTTTCTGTTTCATGTAAATTAAAATTGTTTGAAGATGTTACTCTGGATTAGCTAACTGTTGTATTTCTATAGGAAGAGGATGCAGAAGTGGAGGGCATTCAGTATAAGACTCTAAGAACATTTCATCATGGAATCCGAGTTGATGCCATAGCATGGAGTCCGGAAACTAGACTTGATGCTTTGCCTCCCCGGATAAAGTATGTAGAATAATAGACTACAGCAAATCTTTGTCACTTATCTGTTTTCTCTAACTCCTTGATATTGAACTAAGTTAAAAGTGTGTAAGTGAAATCTTACTCTGAAGAAATTGCTAGCAAAGTCTCTGAACATCATTAGAACAGTAGTTTCATTCTTACTTATCCTTGATATGTTCTGCTTCGGGAGCTCCTTTTTCTGAGCAACTTGCCCTTCTGTCCCTTCAGTGGATCATTGGTAAATAGTACAATTTTTTCCTTATTCATCAACCTAATGGACCTAAAATGTAGTTTGTCCTTTTGTTGTATGCCTTTGAAGAAGGAATTTTAAGAATACCTTGTAAGAATGAGATTATTATGATGGCCTACATTATAAAATGACATGTAGTATTCTCTATGGAACTGTGTTTAGCATAAGTCAGATGCTGTTTGTGAGACTTGGCGTGCCATAAGTCTAGAAAGATTGCTGATTAAATACACACTCAACAAGATCTAAGAAGTTCTCAGTAGCTTGTAAGTCTTTTTGAAACTATGATGATGGCCTGGTGCTGCATGTTTTTACAGTCTTTTGTTTAAAATAAGTTGGAAACTGGTTAATAATTTAATGCTTAAATATTTAAAACACTGGTAATAAGTTTAAGTTTTCTTTTCTTATAATCAGCCTCTTAATTGACATTGAAACTTAGCTTGGAGGAAATTATAAGAGAGATTTCAGGTAATTCACAGCTGATTCAGACTTAGATTTGTAAATATTTTGCATTTCTTTGCAATAAGAAAATATTTTTTGTACTGGATATGCTGTTTTTTTTACAGGTAAGTTCCAATTAAAGCTCTCCGAATTTCCTTTTGCATGTTGTTTTACAGGTTTAAACTGGAGTGAAACCTTTGTTTGTTCGAAGTCAACTATTGGGCTGTTGATTGACCTAAGGGCTTTTTTTTTTTTTTTTTTGTCTGTTGGGTGTAGATTTTGTACAGCAGCTTCTGATAGGAAGTTAAGACTATTTACTTCAGACCTGCAGGACAAGAATGAATATAAGGTAAGGGCAACTCAGTTCATTTAAAATATTTCTTTATTCTCTAGTGGAGTCTAAGCTTTAATTATCCTTCTGCCTCACTTTGTTTAATGTCCTCTGTGAAGTAGAGCACTACACTGTGGCAGATGCATCATCTTTAAGGGGCCTATGTTTAGTCCAAAATATATTGTGATCAGAATATTGTACAGGTGAATTTCAAGTACTGTGTCTTTACATAGAGACCTGTAAAGCATTACAGGTACAGTATTACAAAGTATGTTTTGGTTGTTGGACTCCTCTATTACGGAAAGTGACTTTACTGATCTCTCTCTTTTATTGGGAACTGGAAAGTTGTAATGATACTATTTAATACAGTAGAAAACTTTAAGAACACTGAATTAAGTACATAACTGCAGACACCTCGCGAAACATGCGTGTGGACCATCATTTACTTTGACTAGAATAAATGTCTACTTCAGTTATATTTTCACTTCATGTTCTTAAATCAGTTAGTAAGAGATGTCAGATCTAGATACTGAGATTTCTCTTATTCGTATAGACGTGGATGACTCAGTGACTCCTGTATCACTTGTATGTCTACTTCAAAGTTCTGCACTTGAAACATGAGTGAAGAATTTCACCTTAACATCGACCCTAAATCTTCCCTCTTTTAGTGTAAAGCCATTGTCCCTTGTCCTATCGCTATCAGATGTGTAAAGAGTCATTCTGCATCTTGTTTATAAATTCCCTTTAAATACTGGAAGGCTGCAATGAGAACTCCCTGAAACCTAAACTTCTTCACAGTGAACAAACCCAACTGCAGCCTTTCTTGGGAGGAACAGTGCTTCAGCTCTCTTATCATCTTTGTGGCTCTTCTCTGGACCCTCTCCAACAGCTCCATGTCTCTCACATGCTGGGGATGCCACATGGGGCTTCATGAGAACAGAGAAAAGGTAGACGACCACCTCGCTTGCCCTGTTGGCCAGCCCTCTTCTGATGCAACTGAGGATACAGTTCTGGCCTTTCAGGCTGCAAATGCACACTGCTGGCTCATGTCCAGCTTTTCATTCACCAGAACCTCTGAATCCTTCTCTGCAGGGCTCTGTATGTTGA